AACCTTTTTTTAACCAGGTGATACATCATTATAACTTTGCCAATATTGCCTACTCTAAGGAAGATTTCATGTCGATACAGTTTTTGTAATACAAAATTATTTCATTTTCCTTAGAAAGTAAAGATCCCTGAAATATTTTTATTCAAAGAATGTAATGAAGCTACAGTTGGAAAATATAACTCATATTTCTTAACTACGTTAAACCTTTGCATTTCTGTCCTGCCATTTCTTCTTAGTTTTCAGCTCAAAGTATCAATAACTTATTTTGTTAGTTGTTAACAACAGTTTGCTTGGAATCAACACTTTCACCAAGAAGTGATGGAAATATGATCGTGTCCTTATGATACCATAAAAATTAAAAAAAAAAAAAAGATGAACAATAAATGTGAAATTACTGTCTATTCGTCACACATTTTTAAAACTCTATAATTATTCAGTTGTCTGTATTGGACAGGTGGCTGTAGAGAGAGATCAGGTTCTGGATTTTCTTCATTTTTTTCCTCCAACTTTCACAGCTGATCTGCAGTCGCGCCTTACTAACTCGGATGGAGCGGTGCTGCGACCACTCAGCATACTCGCAGAGATGCTGCGTTAAAAGAAAAAAGGCTTTTCGTCTTGTTCACCAGCTGTGTTTGGAAGGCAGGATGCTGAATTTGGCTTGAGATGTGCCCTCCTTTTTTCGGCATCCTTGAAAAACAAGTGTACCGGCGCGCTTATTTAGAAGGAATCGTGTCAAGTCGGCTGCAGAGGAACTCGCGTCTGAACATAAATTAAAAAGATGAGCAGTCCGCACATTTGAAAAATGCTAAAAACTATCTGAGACGGCTCATATTGCATGCATATAGGTGGAAATGTGCCCACTGTTGCTGTTTCCCTTTTGTGCAGGGCTCTGCTCCAGTTCCATCAGTCACATCGCACTGACTCCCGTGTCCCCACAATCCTCCCCACGGTCATTCATCACAGTGTCACTCAAACGCTGACTCTGGTCCCTGGAGTGTCATGGTAATGTCGTTCCTCTGTGTGTGTGTGTGTGCACTCATTCATGTATGCATATATTTTGGTGTTTCTGAGTATGTGTTTGTCTGAATGCATGTGTCTGAGTGCACTCATGCATGCAATTTTTTTTTCTATTTTGGGGGGCCTGCTGTTTTTTGTTTTTTTTTTCTCTCCCCCTTCCTCTCAGAAGGCGCCGGAGATATGAAGGTGTGTCGCTGCAGTGACAGAAAAAGGAGAAGCAGAGCAAGTCGACAGAGAGGAGCTCGGCGGTGGCAGCAACAGGCAGAGGGCACAGAGGATGACAGTGCCTCCTAGTAGCCTCTCTGTCAACATGATTATCTTTGAACCCAGCTCGAGGTCAGAGACGTGTCACAAAACACGCAAGACGGTTACTAAGGGGAGTTAAACTGAGACTCATGGGGCTGCATACGAAGACGGAGCCGAGCTAGCTTTGCATTAACTCTCCGATGAGCCGACAGAGTGAAATTCCTGGCAGTTGCAAGCAGAGGAAACTGCTCACGTGTCGCTTTTTTTTTTCCCCGCGGCTCACTGCAATATGGATCAGAGCTCCAGGGGTAGCATCCGTCTGAAGGCATGAATAGAAAATCGCTACAGCCGACGTGTGATCCACTATTGTTGTTTTTCCAATTAGCGCCTCCGCATTGAGCATCTCTCAGCATGAAACATGAAAATATCAATCCAAGAGTAACTGACACAGACCCAGCAGCGGCTTTAATGGCTCAGATTACGCACAACTGAGGCGCAGTAAAGCCGCTGATGTGTTCTGTGAATGACAACAGAGTCCACTCTACGAAATGAAGAGATCATCAAAGCAGATCAAATCCCAGGGGCGGGTTCATAAAGCTGTTTGCATCGTCCATGCATCACTGGTCAGCTTTGAGGTCAGCAAAAAAAGAAAAAGAACATCTAGTTAATACTATCCGCTGCAATCTGTGTAAAAGTTGTAAATAAAAAACTCGTGACATTACATGACCCCGAGTCATAATAGAAACAGGAACAAAGCAAAACCTTGCTGATAATGCACAAAAGAGCTGCATACTGTGAATAATGTCGCAAGTTTTAGTCAACTTACTTTACATATTTGTTCCACATACACAGTGAACCATTCTGCAATCAACCTGACTGTGTTTTAGAAATTTGAATACATTTTCCATTCCACTCATTTCTGTGCGAAATCTATTGGCAAGCTCCTGAAGTTTGTTTGAGTGCTGCAATCCATCACGGTGAACATCAAGTTTGCATAATAATAGCCAGTTCCATTTCTTATCTAGCTCACAGTCAAAATAACAGATTTGCTGCTCTCCAACACTTACAAACATCCTAATGAACCTTTTGTCTGTCATTGTTCTTTTAAGTGGAAAGCAACATTGTCCAAAACATTCAGGTTACAATATCAGTAGCGTGTCTTCCCGAGGTCAAGCAATGTCACCGCAGCACCTGCAACTGATAATATCAACTATATCTGCCAGAATTATTTGATATTGTTTAAAAAAGATTCATCATTTCAACGTATTTCTCACTTGATATGGTTCTTCAATCATCTGTCTGAACCCCAAAACCCACCGATGGTTTAAAAAGGTATGTTATCTTTTTTAAAAATTGCACCAATTATCAGAGTCAGAAAGTGTAACAACACAAAGAACTGTCAGATTTTCAGCTTTCCGATGGTCCTTCAGCTCGTCTTGTGTGACATGCTGCTCAATCAAATGTAATAATATCAGAAATCCCTTTTTTCTACATGTCTTGTTTAAAAAACAGTTTAAAAATAAAGAGTTTGGGCACCCCTATAGCTCACCTGGTTGAGCGGGCGACCCATGAACAGGGACTATAGTTCCCCAGTGCGGTGTTCGTGAGTTCGACTCCCGCTCACGACAGTTTGCTGCAAGGTCTATCCCCATTCTTCTCCCCCCTTTCCTGTCTCACTCTCTCACTGTCCTGACTAATAAAGGCAAAAATGCCAGAAAAATCTTTGAAAAAAATAAAAAATAACGAGTTTGCACTGACTAGATTCTGTAAAAACTAAACATTTCTGCACTCCTCAGTGCAACCACGAAGCAATTAATGACTCAGCTGCAATCAACAGTTACAGGACAAAAATTCAGCAACTTCTTGTCTGAACTGCAGGCTGTTTATACATGGAGCAGACATGAGACATTTATGGAAACAAAGTCTAAGTAGTATCTACAGTGTGTACAGTCACCAGTATTGGTTACACCTGTGGGCACCTGGGAAATTATTTCACATACTGAATTTCTAGGTTTTTTTTTTTTTCATTTTTTGTTAAATAAATAATAAAGAATTCAACTTCTGGGGTTGATTTTATGTACAGCAACATGAGGTTTTTGTGCTTTTATTAACACAGAAACAGTAGAGCACATCCCTGAAAGAAACACCAATCTACAACTCCACTCTACAACCACAATCTGACTGATTACGTTAGCTTTTATAGTCACATCCATATTTTTAGCTTGAGTTATGAGTCAGGACTTGCAGCATGTGAACTGAAGTAGCTCATGACAAATGAGTTAGTACACAACTGTTAATAATCTTCTGTCAATACTGCTCATTCTGCTTTTGTCGTCTCAAGCACCAAAACATGATTACAGATTTAGTTATTTCGGCCTTTCATTGCTTTTTAAAATGTTCAAGCTAAATTAAAGTGCTCAAAAATTAACGAGTGGATTGAAATTTGATCAGATGCAATCAAACTTTTACCCTTTAAGTTATTACTGTAATGAGGTGCAAATTGATTTTGAAAATGTCTTTAGCTTGCAGGCAATAATAGTGCAACACCAACAAAACTAATACAGACCCAGTGTGATGGATTACACAACTCAAGAGGCTGCCAACAGTAGAACAGCAAAATAAATGCACCCAAAACTCTGAAACTGTGCCGCATACATTTCAAATGGTCTGAAGAAACGTTACACATGTGAGATTTATGGTAATGAGTTCCACCTAGCAAACACTCCGGTACAATCCTTGATTTCTTAACAACAAAACCCAAAATGTCTTGGAAGATCTGAAAAGTCTGAAATGAAATGAAAACAAGGTTGTGCTATTAAAGCTTCAACATTCTCGTTTCTAGCACTCCTTTATCGCAGGCAGCGTGCTGTTCACTTACTCACTGATGGACTAACAATCGACCAGAGGGAGTCTTAAGCAACAAGTGGGTGTTGAGAATATTGTGTTTTAGTGTCAAAACCAACTTTGTGCCAGAATTTGTTCACTTTGATCTGCCAAAAAAACAGAATATCTGAAACATTAATGATCAGCATTTCAGTTTTTTTCTCCAGTCAGTGCAACAACATACGCCGCATTCTACCAGCAGAACGGCACCTTGCTCTGGTCAGCGGCCTCGGGTTTCACAAGCACAGCGTTGACACAGAACAAACAGAACAACGGGGTGTCGCACTCAACAGCAAGCCAAATTACAGGGAGAAATTAACACCTGCAAGCTTTCAAATAATGGTACAATTTGGCTGTGATTTTGCGTTCAATCAGACAATCCAGCAGGGACACAAACGTCCTCTGAATGTTCAGAATTGTTCAGAAACAGAAAGGAAACACTTGGCTGCAGAGATAAAAACAAAGTGGCTGTAGGATTTCAGGGAATTTACTATTCAATATAGCCAACAGCTACTTTGCCTCAGTGACTAAAATACTTGAGACCTGTCGCAGGACTATATTTGCCACCGGTGCACTGCCATTATGTGAAGGCTGAGGACAACAACGAGGCAACAGCAGAGAATATATTTGCCGAACAAAGCTTAAGAGCCAACTTGTACAGCCTTGGACTGAAAGTACAGCTACCAGCATACATCAAGTCATCTCACATGCAGAAAAAACATAAAATCAACATTGCATAGTCAGAATCCCTCACAAGCAGAGTACTCTGAAGGTTACCAGACTGCAGAGAGGGTCTGACCCCAACTGAGCACAGACCACAGCTGACATTTAAAGCAAGAGATGAGTGGACTTACGGGTTTGAAGTCGTTGTGGCTGCAGTCCTGGCCCTGGTATCTGCAGTAGAGCATCATCTCCTTAAGGTCGTGGCCTACCCTCTCGATGAACTCCTTCATGCTGAACGCCTTGGGCCTGTAGGCCGTGAAGTTGGCTTTTTCCTGCAGGAAGGCGAGCACGTCGGGCTCAGCGAGGTGAGGCTGGGGGATCGTCAGGTGCACATCCAGCAGGGCCAGCAGCTCTCCAGCGTGGTACAGGTCGTTGCGCGTGAGGCGGCTGAAGCGGTACGCGTTCAGGTTACAAATGGTGACGGCGGGAAAAACCAGACTGCTCGACACTACGGCGTCCACGCTGGTCACGTGAGGGTAGGAGAGGAAGTAGGCAAACCGCTCGGCGCTCTCTAGGGCCAACAGTCCCAGGCAGGTCAGCAGAGCGGCAGCCCAGAGCAGGCGGCGGGCGCTGGGCTGGCCGTACGGGAAGACGAAGCGCAAGCCGTGCAGCGTGCTGCTGTGGGCGAAGGCCTGCCAGGAGGTGGGGCGCAGGCTGGAGCTCTCCTGGCTCCCCTGACTGCCACAGCTCTCCTTCAGATCCATCATCAGCCCACCGCCTCCTCCACCGGGGAGCCCCCCTTTGCACTCACACCTGCACAGACGGGAGAGTCAATACGAGACTTTACTCATATCGACTGCACGGATGAAAGACACTGAAACAGCAGATGGAAAACATGGGAGGAAAAAAAAAAAAAAACTGACAAAAAAGAAAAAGTACACACAGGAAGGCAAAGATCTCCACAACCCAAATAACTACTACGGAGAGTTGGAGGAGAAAGATGCTCCCTCAGGGCATCCCTCTCCTCTCCACCTCCACTCTCAATCACTCCTTTGAACTGAGAGTTACTGTGGCTGCCAGCCTGCCTGTGGCTCCTACAACCCTCAACACACACTCTACCCCAAATCCCCCCTGCTAAAAAAAATCGCCCGCCTCCCTCTTGTTTCATGCCCTCTGTGACTGCTCGATTTCACCAAGAGGTAAGTCCTCTGTGACACCCGGAGCGAGAGGTGAGAGTCACATAAGCCGCGAGGAAATGAAAAGCTGCCTGTGTGTTCTAACATCCCGACTCATCTCCATTCAAACACACTCGGCTCATGCATGCATGCATGCGGACTGACACACACAAGGCTTCTCCCCGTGCCCTCAACTAATGACAAGCCTGAGCACCTCTCTCCCGTGCAGCCTAGCGAGAAGACATCCAGCCGGCGCGAGTGTGTGTCAGAGTGTGTGTGTGTGTGTGAAAGAGAGAGAGAGAGAGACAGAGAGGGAGAGACACTGAGAAAGCAAAAGAGAGAGAGCAAGAGACGCTGGTGATGAGAGCCGCCGGTTAGTCTCGCATGCCGATCCAAAACTCCTCCTGTTTTCCTCTGGCCAGATACATCCGCTTTCCCTCCTCTTCCCAGCTCATCTGTGGCGGCGGCGAACAACAGCGGAGCCGGGAGAGACGGGAGGCACACACACCAACACACATGCTTCAACAGAGAGAGAGAGAGAGAGGAGAGAGGAGAGAGTAGAGAGAGAGAGACAGAGAGAGAGAGAGAGAGAGAGAGTAGAGAGAGAGAGGGAGAGGGAGGGAGGCAAGACAACGCTCTCCTCCCTTTTCAAAGTCTCACTGAACCTCCCTCTTCCTCCTGCAAACACCGCCACCTTTGCTCGCTGTGCAAACCTTCATACTTCCACAAAACAGAGTGATGGATGCAAAAAAATGGAGAAACAGACAGACAGAAGATGGAGAAGGGGGGAGCTCTGGCTGAGTGGATGTCATGGGAAGTGAAGCAGAAGTGGAGACGGAGGAGTAAAGGCAGGGAGATGTAGGTTGAGGGGAGGGATGAGGACAAAAATAAAGAGAGGAAAACTAAAAAAAGAGCAGGCAGGCGGCGGCGATGTCAAACAGAGGGAAGTAATTTAGACACACAACGTCACAGCAGAGGGACGCAGATGTAAAGGGAATAATAAGAGGCGCGGAGTGTGTTTGTCGGGCGTAATGGGACGTTTAAAATCGCAGAGGAATCAAACTGATCCTTCACCCGAGAAGCTGCGCAGTTTATCAATAACGAGAGGCAGGAAGCAGCGTGAAGCGATACAAGGAGACAGCAGGAGGAAAAGTGGTGAGAAGAAAACAACGAGGGTGTGAGAGCGTTAAAAGGTGGTAAAAGAGAAAAGAAAAAGCCTCAGTGTGTGTTGAGACGTGATGGAAAAAGACAGCTTGTCGGCGTGATCACTGACAATAAATCTGAATTTCATCACATCACTTTCAGCTGAAAGAAAACTTAAAGCTCACTAAACTAGATACGGCAGAAATAGAGTGAACACTGTTGATACTGGATATTTTTAGATACCGATACGGGTATATGTAAAATATACATGGTGCATTTATAATATATGAGACAATATACATTTTTAACATAAATACATAGGCATTTTTATTTTAATTTACATGTTTGTAGGGTTTTAATGCCCTATATGTAAATTATTTAGGTACTACTTTAGAAGTAGACAACCTAAAAACCAATGTTTTGTAAACTTGTTGGGTTAATTTTGCTATTCAATTAAGAAAAATTAAGACAGCAGCCAGAGCGTTGTCGTTCAAAATGCTTTCTAGTTCATTATATATGATACATTAGATTTTTTTTTTTATCTTAAATTATTTATTTTAAAGCATATTTTTTTAAAATAAATGATATACATTTTAATAAAATATACATTTAAAAAACTTTTTTTAAGCACTTTGGTGTAAAGCTGTTGTCTTAAATGTTCTATACAAAAAACAGTAACTTGAAATTTATGGTAAAAACCTTCTGGTGTTGGACACCAAAAACAGCAGCAGTAAATTTTACAGTACAAATCTCAGTAGAGCTGCAATGATTAATAATTGTTTCGTCAACTACTAAATTAATTATCAACTAATTGGATGATCTTTTATTAAATTTGAGTAGTTTTGCTGAAGAAAAATTCTCTGATCCCAGTTTTTTAAATTTGATATTTTCTGGTTTGTTTACTCTTCCACTGCAGCAAACTGAATATATTTGGGTTGTGTACAAAACACGACACAACATTTTGGGCTCTGACTGATTTTTTTCACCATTTTCCATCATTTTAACAACCAAACAACGAATCGTCAGAGAAAATAATAGCAAGCTGCAGCCTTAAACTACACTGAAAATTAATTTGCGTCAATAAAAATTAGAAAACAGCAAGAAAATGTGTGTGTCTTTAATAGAACGGCTAAGAAAGGCTTAAATAGATATAAATACACTCTCTAGCATCTTTTTCAATAATAAACACCAATAGACATGTGATGTGGACGAGTTTCTATCACTTTATGACCTTTGTCATTAGTTCTTGTCCTCAATTAATGCTTTTTCTAACACATACTGATGTCAACAAATACATTTTCACATTTTTATTTAGTTATTTAACTGACCAGGAAAAGAGCTTTATGTTATTTCTGAGATACGACAGCTAGACTGTAACCATAAATCTCCTGAATGTCAGATCACACCTAAAATTACCTGTAATTATGTTTAAAACAGCGATTATGTGGGTCATTACCACAACACAGCAGCATTGCCTGACACTAGATGAAGTACACCTGCCACATTTACAATCAGTTCCCATCTGCAAACATGACTTAGGCCAGAAAAAAACTAAACAAGACCAACAGGTCATTTGACTACGAAACTTTCACACTGCACTAAAAATGTAGGACCCCCTGTGGGTAAAATCCCACCATGCTGTCAGCCCAGAACCTCATTTTCTCAAGTTACTGGGGCAATTACTGTGTACCCTTAATGAAGTGGTTAAAAATTAATAAGCAGTCATAAAAATGTGCCTTAATAGCTCCAGGATAAAGCCCAAAGTTTGAGCAGTGTGCAGTTTCATTAAATGCACATGAACTACAGTCCATTGGAACCATGTAAAGTGAATTCTGGACTGAATAATTCAATAATTTAATAAATAGTGAGTAATTGTCATCACTTACTGAACACAGTCGTTTTTTCCACCAGTGTTGCGCAACTTTATGCACGTGCTTTCATAATTACATCACCTGTATGCTCATTTTCACATAGCACGTGAACATTTTCTCAGCCAAACTCTCTTTTAATGTATATTTTAGTAGTTTTCAAGAATTTTCAGCGGCTTTACGTGTGCTTCACAGTGGTTAAAGTGCGTATTTGGCGCATTAGCTCACCTGTTGCCGCTGCTGCTGCTGCTGAGGAGGAGGAGGCCTTCACATCCAGGATGAAATTTCTTCGCCCATGATCGTCGTTTAAATCCTCAGTTTCATCCATTTCCGAATAAATTCACGCTTTTAATCGCCCTCTCGGCTTAGAAACTCTTTGTAAATACGTTTTCAACCGACTTTAGAGACTTTACAGACGCAATTTTTCGTGCGCCACCGGTGAACATCTTCGAGCCAGTCAATTTTGCGCAGCTGCAATCTGATTGGATGATGACAGAGAGAAAGTGATGGCGCAGTTCACCACCCCGAGTTGCGGAGAGACTGGGTTGCGCAGTTTGTTGAAGCTGCGTCGCCATTTTAAATATTTACCTGAGAGTCATGAAGAAATTATTTGTTTTTGCAATTCTCCTTAAGTCCTTACCCTTAAGTCTGCATTATTTTGCCTAGTTGCTTTTATTGGTTAAAATTGCATTAAAGGACCAGTTTAACTCATATAATGCAGTTTTTTACTTTCCAAAAGTCATTGCAGCTTTCACACAGGGGCGTCTCCAGATATTTTTTATACTGGTGGCACTGGAAATCTTGGGGTGGCACCAAAAGCCATAACTGAGAAACTAAGATTCTGATATGCTGTTCCAGGCAGTATGACAGATAATTAATTACATACTGATATAATTTGGCTTCTTGTTTCACAGTGAATGTTACTAATAATCTGACGTGACTGACAGTCCAGGAGAAGAGGTACTGCTGCATTTAAAGAGGAAATGCTTCACCATAGACAAAACTACATTTTATTCATGATTTAAACACTGGGGCTGCAAAGTGGTAGCACTGTTGCCTCGCAGCAAGAAGGTCAGCGGTTCACGTCCTGGTGGGGGCAGGAGGATCTTTCTGCAGCGTGGGTTCTCTCTGGGTGCTCCGGCTTCCTCCCACAAGTCCAAAAACATGTCGAGGCAACCCTAGTGAGGATTAAGCAGTGTATAGGTAATGGATGGATGGATATTAACACCGTCCATGTGTGACGATAATTTATTCAACAACAGCAAGTTATTGTTCTTGTTGTCCTCGGCTACCTGTTGCAGTATTATGATAGTTATTTAGACGATCAGATGCTCATTGAGGCGTCCATTTGCACAATAAAGTCACTGCTGCAAACCTCTTTCTGTTGTAAAAACCTCCCTAATGAAAAATAAAAACTTGATGTGACAGCAACATATTTTGACTTTAGTAAACAGATTCGACTTTTACAGTAAAATACTATCCACCTGTGATGGAGCTCACCTGGCTGAGGTCAAGAAAAGTTCACCTGCTGTTAGATCCTCATCCGTCCTGTCTCCATGTGAGGGATCATTAATAATTAGA